ATCATTGAAGCTCAATCGACCTGTCAAATATAGCCGCTGCCGTATACAGCACTCAGCTATGTAACCGGCTAAGGGCATTTCTGTCAGCAGTTCCACCGTCCTGTCCACTGCCGCATGTCAATGAGCTTCTGATAGCAGTTTCCGACTTTGAAAGAAACCTCGATTCGTGGGGCATCAGGTTTGACAGTATCTTTTTTGGAATCTAAAATATGATGGCACTTGTTCCTTCTTTTTAACCGTTTATTTTAATTTATTTAGTCCAGTACAGGGTGGTATAGACTCTAGAGGGTTATTTCACAACTACATAATGGTTTGGATACATGATATGGAACTTAGGCTACTTGACCGATGCAGAGCAGAAAAGGTACCATCCTAATTATCTTGGGATGATCCATTAAATCACTAAGCATATTATTCGACTATGATAAGTCAGAAAATGGCTTCTTTTGGCAGGTTCCCTGGTCTGGTGTAATAACAAATCACTCAACATCACCGTTTGCTGAGGACATGTATGAGAGAATAAAAGATTCTCTTATAGAGTATGAAGTGGTTATCAGTCGATGGCCACAATACACATTGATCTTGGAAAATGTGAGCGACAACCTGGTTATATGAGTGATGAGTTTGTAGCTTATTGGATAGTTATCAAGACTAACTTGGGTTCACGCTTTTCTTCATGTACTCTTTTGGAAGACTGCTTCAACTGTGGAGAGAGCCATTGTTAAATCGCTGGAGAAACAATACAATGACATACTGGCACCTTTAAGAGACAYTATTCCAAAAAGGCTAAATATGCATGTCCAAAAACTGACAAGAAGGCAATCATCAGCTCTCTACTCTGTTCCAACTCAAGTAAGAACCACCCACCATTCGTATTTAATAGAATTCTGACTGATAAGGGTCTGCACTGAACATCATTGTTGAATGCAGCTGGGAACTTTTGTCAACACCATAAAGAGAATCCTTGATGTTCTACACTGTAGAGTTGAGGATATCTTGAGACAACGGGCTTCGTGCCTTCCTGTTCTTGAAGACAAGAAGTCGCTCTTTGGAGAGCAGATGAATGTTATCACGGTCTTGCTCAGGACAAAATACAGAAACTACATGCAGGCCGCAGTTGATAAGCTTGTAAGAAATGTAAGTTCTATAACTCCTCCTCGTATCCATCTATCGTGATTTAATCTGAATCCATACATGTAGTAACAATCTCTGTGTGTGTGGATGATTCAGACGCAATCAAACAAATGCACAAGACTGAAGAAAATCTTAGAGGAGATAAAAGAGAACGAGAGAGAAGTCGAAGTCCGTGAACGTATGAAGGCGCTATGCTCACAACTCAGTGACTCAATCTCAAATTTGCACGATGTCTTCACAAGTCAGATATTTGTGGCTTCGTGCCGCCTTTTTTGGGATAGAATGGCGCAGGTGATTCTCGTACAGTTAAGAGACATGATCTTTTTATATAAAATGATTCTTTGATCCTGAGTTTTTTTGTGTTCTGTTGTCCACACGACAGATGGTCTTGAAGTTTCTTGAGGGAAGAAAGGAGAATGAAGTAGGCTACAAAGGCTCTTACTATGCTCTTGGGGTAAAAAAAAACAAAAAAAACTTTTATAAATACCGCATTACATAGACAAATCTTTGGGGGTTGAAATTGAGGAGTTTTGATCAAACGTGCAGATAGTGGAGGACACGTTCGCATCAGAGATGCAGAGGCTGCAAGGGAACTCGCTAAAGGAGAAGGATATGGAGGCTCCTCGTTCGGTGATTGAGGCACGTTCCATTCTCTCTAGAGACACTACCAATCATCTTACTTCTACGTCTAGTCCACTTTCATCTCATTCCATTCATTGGTTTTGATATGTCG